ATTGTAAGCCGCCCTGAGTCCCCCCAGGGAAAAGGGCGGCATATAAATAAACCTTCTAAATCTAAAATCTAAATCTAAAGTTACATCAGCACTGAAAAAAAGGGACTTGCAACTGGTTCTCACACTTATGACCACTGCTGCATCCTTGTGTCACATGATTGTGATTTGATTGTTTGGCAACCATCATGCATTTATGACGGTCACAGCATCCTGTGATTATGTGATCACCCTTTGCAAGTTTTCCAGTCAGCTTCCCACAAGCAAAGTAAATGGGGAAGCCAGTGGGAAGTTGCAAATTGTGATCACATAGTGCAGGGGTGTCAAACTCAATTTCATTGAGGGCCATAGTAGGGTTGTATTTGATCTTGGGGGAGGGAGGCTGGGGGCATGGCCAGGGGACATGCCATGGTCACCTTGACATCACTTGTGTCAGGGATGCCTATGATGGCTTGAGTGCTCTGCCAGTGAAAATGGGCTCCCAAGCTCTGTTTTCAATGGCAGAGGGTTGCAGGAAGCCATCCCAGCCAAAAACAGAGATTGGGAGCCCATTTTCCCTGGCAGAGGCACCACAGCAGTGGTGGGTTGCCAATTTTTTTACTACTGGTTCAGTTGCACTCCGGGTGGGTGGGTGGAGCCACCCTCTGCCGCTACTATTACTTTGCCTGATCCGGGCTGAACCAGGAGCAACCCACCTCTGCACAATGGGTCAATCCTTTGCTCTTTCCAGGGCGGTCCCGTGGGCCAGATCTAAGCACCCCACAGGCTGGATTTGTCCCCAAGCCTTGAGTTTTACACCCCTGACATAGCATCTTGCTTGACAACCATGGTAATTTGCTTAACAATTGCAACCAAGACTGCTGGAATTGCTGCTGTAAGTTGGTGTGGTCATAAATTTTGCTTAATGACTACTTCACTTAAGGATGGAGATGCCAGTGCCAATTAAGTGTACGGTTAACTGAGGACTACCTGTAAACTTCCTAGCAAATTTTTAGAATTACATTTCTTCCCACTGTGATTTTGTTTTGATTCTTTGCTTTCTCAGCTTTATAGACTTTATGGGACTATTATTTTATTGAAATAAGTACTGCTTTGACTTTCTCTTGCTTTTCATCTTATTGTTCAACGAAGAAACACAACTGATAATTTAAATTGCTAATGTGCAATTCACATGTAGTGGCAAACCATCATGCCCTATATAAATAAATTACAATAATTTGGAAGCTTCTATGCTTCCTTAACTACACAGAAACCTATCATCAGAAAAAATACTTTGGATTGTAAACTAATCTGCTTTTTCTGTGACATTATAATTTAGCAAATAATGTGTTCAGACATACAGTAGGTAACTATTTAATGTTGGTTCATTTTTTGCTACCCGTGTTGAAATATTATACAGTTCAGAATTCAAACCCATTCAAGAACCATGGTTTGTTCAATGCTGAAAGAAGAAAGTTCTAGTCCTACCCATAGAGCCAAGAAGGAAGAATATAGAAGCTAAAGAAACTATGCTAAGATAAAAGTGTTGATATTATAGACCATAAAATATATTATTCAGGGGCCGCCATACAGCAGACTACAACAAACATTATTTTAAAATAAGATTAAGAACCTCTGGTTGATGATTGTGTATTCTGGATGTTTGTCAAATTCTTTTTAAGAATGCAGTTGAATAGAAAAAATAACTTGTTTCCTTTAACCAGAAATGGATCCAAAGTAATAGGAAGATACCAGAAGAGTTTTTAAAAAGCTACCACGATGAGAAAGGCAACATTTTAAATTGGAAATAAGCCCTAGAGAACCTACAACTGAAAGGTGAACATTAAAAAATAATCTTCTGACAAATGTGAATGCCAAAGTAACTATTGCTATTACTGGAATGAAAGCTAAGAAACTGAAATGACTATGAATACCAGCAAGAGAGTAATCAATTAAAATTTAAAATTGATTAGAATGGATAGAAAAATAGACACTAGAGAAGGAGCAGCAAGTACAGCAATGTTAGGTTTCATAGTATAGAACATAATAGAATATAGAGCAAAATTAAGATTGCATGAGTTCATCTAAAAATATTCAATGGCCGTGCCAAATTTCTCCATATTAAATACCAAAAATGGTTTCCTCTAAAGTAAAAAAAAAGTATAATGACCCTTAAGTGGACCACTAGTCCTTCAACCTAGAGGCGAGGGATGCTTCTCTACTTCTATATATTGGCTGTGGTTTACATCAGAGTTTTGAAAAACAATACAATTTCAACATTCTGAGAACAAAACACAGGAATATATTAGTGCTTAATAATTTAAGAGCAATTGAGACACATAGTAAACTTCTGGGAACTTTCTGGGCAAATGGGTTACACTTCTTAATTAATTTTGCTCCATAACATGACTTAATTCAAGCATCTACAGCAAGTCTTTTTTTTTATAATCTATATAAAAACATTCAGAGTATCCCTGGTTTCCCAAACAGTTAACAGTTTGATCGATCATTTCTAGGAGAAAGATTTAGTGCAGTGGTGGGATTCAAAATATTTTACTACTGGTTCTGTGGGTGTGGCTTGTGGGCATGGCATGGCATGGCAGGGGAAGAATACTGTAAAATCTCCATTCCCTCCCCACTTCAGGGGAAGATTACTGCAAAATCCCCATTTCCTCCTGATCAGCTGGGACTCGGAAGGCAGAGAATAGATGAAGGCGGGCAAGTCAGAGGTAGTATTTACTGGTTCTCTGAACTATTGAAAATTTCCACTACCAGTTCTCCAGAACTGGTCAGAACCTGCTGAATGTCATCTCTGGTTTAGTGTCTACATAACAGTGCAATACTTTGTATGAACACAGGAAGCTGTCTTAAGCTGTCAGATGTTTAGTTGATTGAACAATAGTGTTGCCTTCATTGAATGTCAACAGCTCTCCAAGGTTTCGGAGGTATGGTAGCTTCTCCCAATCCTACCTTGAGATGCCCCATGTTGACTGTGAAACATTCTCCACATAGTTTTGCGCACTTTCATACATTCTCCAAACCTTTCTTTTCATCTCAGTGGGAAGCTACCACTCATTTCATTAGGCTTTGTCCAGGCAGTATCATTAGCTAGCAAGCTATTAAACCCCATAATCCCATGCTGAAGGCGTTAGTGCATCTTATACCAAGGCAATTAGAAGCTGCAGTTTTCAAGGACCCTTCAAGTCAAAGAAGCCAACATAAATTTAGTCACTTGTAGTGGCAGCTCGAGATGAAATATGCTTTGGGGTAAGATTCATGCTATTACCTTAGCACATTCTGAAATAAATCCATAGCTAGCATGAGATGGTGCCCAGTCAGGATCCCCTTTCCCATTCTACTGAACAAATACTCTCAATGTATTTTAGCTTGCTGTACATTCAGTTTGCTAAACTAGCTCTCTAAATATTCCAGAATAAAAATGTCCATTCCTGATATTTATTTATATGTTTCTTTAAAATGTCCTCTAATGTTAATTACCATTCAAGGGAGCTTACCTTTTCACTGTCAATATGGGCAACATCTTTGGCTTCAGGATCTTCCTCCCACAATGGAGCTCCTTCAGGATCCTTTAGAAAGGCAACCAGTGACTAGAAGAGAAGACATAGCCCTTTAATCACAACTACAATAGATCTGTCAAATGTTGTCTTGGTCTTTCAGGCACCATAAATAGAAATATTTGGCTTGCTTTTCCAGTGAAGATTTTTAAGGAGCTCTGTTCCCTGATATGTTTCTTTTTAAAAACAGATTCAGAGTATTGAACCCAAACATGGCATTTTCACTAATTTTTTTTGAAGAATACATTAGGGTTAGGTTGCCTGCCTATTATACCACCCATCTCATGTAAGTGACTCTGGGCAGTTTACAATTAAAAAATAATAAAAAATAGAAAAGCTACTAGTCACTATAGGCTAATCCTTTCAATTGAAACTTGAAAATCCAATGTGCACATGGCCCCTGTGCATGTGCTCTGCCCCCACGCATGCACAGCAAAGATCTGACGACTAGCTGGCTGGTGGGAGGCACACGCGCATGCACAGCGGAACTGAACTGGAGCGATGGCTTGTGTGCCCAGAGAGAGGGCGCTGTGTGCCACTTGTGGCATGGGTAAAATAGATTCACCATCACGTCTATAGGCCATTACCTTGTGAGACTGTTCTGAGAAAAAGGACGAAGGATCGTAAACCTCTATAGTTCCATGGTGGAAAACTAAGATAAAAATTGAATGTTGTACAACAGAAATATTTGGTTACTGAAAGACTACAAATTGTCCAATGTACTAGAATAAAACTTGACTATTTCTTATAAACTGAGCATTAAGTGGGACTTCAGTCTCACTAGCCTATATCTCAAGATCAATGTATATGTTTTATTACAGACTTAGCATATACATCTTTCTCTATATATGAGAAATTAAAAATTAAATTAAACGTTCCATCATTTATTTATTAGATCTATGTTCCAACTTTCATTTAGGAGTTCAATATGATGTACTGAGCACTATGTGAGGTGTCTATTAAGAAGAATACCTATAGGACATAAGAGAGTCACAAAAGTTTTTTCTAAAAAAAAACATAGACGCCATGGCCAAGTATTCTCTGTATATCTATTCAGTGAACCATAAAATCATGAAAACAGATGGGAATTAGCAATTGTAGAAAATGGTAGAATAGGAAGGTTATGTTTTGCTTCAAAATAAGATGTGGTTTGGCTCCTTTACCTATCTTGTTTGAATGTATATTTTGGGTCTGTAAATTTTGCTTGAATTTAGGGTGTGATGTTTGATTTATCTGTATTTTATGACCAGCATGCCTATTCTTTGGATGATGTGTGCAATCTATGTTACTCATCTTAATTTTCTAGCAACGGATGACTGACATATGGTGATGGAAAGTTTATTTGTATATTCTGAGACTCACTGGCCTGCCTTTGTGGAAGTGCATTTTTTGTAAGTGATCACACCATTCTCTAAGCCTGTCCACAATACACGTGCAAGGTTCCAAATGTTACTCAGTCCCCCAAAACAGTGTGGGGTGGGAAGGAATGGTGCTGTTTCAATCCAATGTATACAAAGTATGACAAGTTACAATGGCTTCCTTTTGTCAAGGTTCCGAGTAATGAAACCAACTAATGCAGCAATTCTGAGACTTTCAGCTTTCTCAGAAAACAGTTTTATTGACTACTTTCATTCGTGTCGAAATTTGAGAAAGCTGAATGTCTCGGAGTTGCTCAATTGGTTGGGTTCATTACTTGGAACCTTGACACCTTCCTCCCTCCCTCTTTCCTTCCCTCTTTTACAAACAAAAACTATGTTCTGAGTATCGTTCATGTGAATGCAGGTAGTCCCATCCAGTTATTTAGATGCACTGCACACACCCTTTGGCTTTCTCTGCTTATTCTCAGCTTTATCAGTATAAATTTTCCTTCAGGCAGTCCTGAGGGACAGGGAGGAACTAATCTTTCAAGTGTTAAAGAAACTGGCTGCATAATTTAGCTTCAGAAAATCCTGCATACCAAATCCATGTGCTAGATCTAGGATCTTTAACACAAAGGCCACAAACATTTCTCTTGGGACTCCAGCCTTCTTGATTATTTTAAATAAATCCCCCTTTAATGTAAAAATAACTGGATATCTAGCATGTTGCAAAATTCCCTATATTCAATATATACAGAACTGAAAAAGATTTCATTCCTGGAGTTACAGCAGAAGAGGCAACTTGTTGCTATTTTCTCAGTTTATTATTATTCTCTGGTACTTAAACTCATTTTAAAAACAACGGGACATCTAAAGCCAAGGTAGTTTCTACAATCCAAGGTTTATAAAGCAAGCTACAAGCTGAGGAATTAAGAAAAAAAAGCTGTACAATTCCTTTCTAATCTGACTAAGAGATATGACTAGGATGGGACAACTACCGTATATAAAACATTTAGATTTTGTGATTTCTTTCCTTTATTAGCAAGTCTGCATGTGATAATATCATAGCCTTATGGATATTTGCTCTTACAATCACATCCACTTCAACAGCATTTCCTCAAATATGAAAAGAAGCTCAGACTACATATGTTTTTCCCATAAGCTAATTATACTTATAAGCCCCATGATTTGTTGTTGATAATTGGGCCACTGAACTTTATTAGCATGCATTCTGTTTCAGCTAAACCATTACATTCAGAAAATTTAAATTCTCTATCAGATTGCCAATGTAAAAAGGGGTAGTTTTTATGTGTAGAAAACAATAAAGACTCAACACAGATTCATATAACTGTGATTGTAGGCGAGTTTCTCACAGCCCTGACCTTACTAATGGGAGTCAAAGCACTGAGTACCTATCTTACTGAGTTTAATGAGGTAAAGGTAACATCTCTTTCACCTTCCATCAAATTGGTTCTACAGTCTAATAATCTAGGTTTATCACAACTTCTAGAGCTCGTTTTGGGTAACTTAAGAAAAGGGAACACTGCTTAAGAAATCATTTTCAAAAACCTAGAAGAAAGCTTATGCATTCATTCAGAGGTAACTGATGAATGTTTTTGAGGGGAATCTCCACTCCTCTTAGGCATAAACTTAACATGTGTATAAAACACCACGCTGGGCTGCAGCCCAAGAAAGAAAACATGTTTAAAATACAAAAGAGCATATGTGGAGAGCTTTGTTTCTTCTTGCTGATTTGAAACAGCATAGACAAATTAAAAGCACGAGCACTAAGAGCAGGATGGCTGAAGAGAATTCTCTTCAGAGGGAGAGATATTTCAAAGTAAAATAGAAGTTTGATCCTAGAGTAAATCATATAAAACAAATTACATTTTCTAAGCAATCTCTGCTGAGTTATTGAAATAACTTTTTGTCTCTCTGTTACTGATAAATATACAAATTGTGAGCCTGAAGGCAGGGAATTGTTGCTTTAAAATTGGTAATCACAAACACAACTGAAGATTCTAATGTAAGTTTGAATGTCTTTTATCGATAAAATAGACAATATTTTCTCTGGAGCCTAATTTTTAAAGTCTTCAATTTTTTATTTATGAATAAGAACCTGTTATCACTGAATAAGCTTTCCCTAATATCCAAATATATGTGGACTGCAATGTTCAGAATTCCAGTAATCTCAAAGAACAGCAGGTTGCAGAGAGCTGACGTAAAAGATTGTAAGAAAAACAGAATGCGTTGAAATCAGAAAAGGTGACTGCTGAGATATTTTTGTTTTTCTCCACATATACAGAATAAAAAAGAGAGGAACTTTAGCATATTGCCCAGCTCCATCACGCAGAACGCAGATTAAACCTTTTTGTTCAAAATCAAACAAATTTTCAGGCTAGAATATTATGTAAATTGAATAAGCTTCACTTAATCTGCAGAATCTTTCTCTCCATGAATAAAATTTGAGATTCAAAAGTTAACAATATAGATATTGGTTGCTTAGCATCAGCAGGATGAGACAGCTTTAAGGTTCAAAGAATTCTTCTACTCAAACAGCAGTGGCAAGATTTCACCATGGGTGAGATATAAAAAGAAATGCCTCCTGGTAGGCATAACTGTATATAATTTTGCAGATGTGGCCATCCACACGATTTAACAGTTGTTGTGGAGTCTAGATAATTATTTCAGGAAGGTTCATTCTTATTTCTGTTGAACAATCATTAAAAACATTCTGCATGCTACTTATAGCCAAAGAAATGTTGGAAGCTTGTTTCAAGTGCCAGATTAGTAGTCCCTGTATATTTTTTTTCAGATGTATTTTTTCATCACCTTGATTTAGGCAAAACACTAGTGAAGCAGCTTCTATCAGTTCCATCAAGAGACAAGTTTTGGATTGCTTTTATTTTTAAGGATCTGTCAACAAAACTTGTAGACTTTGTTCTGGACCTGGAGGATAGCTGTATTAGTTGAGGGAAAGGCTATATCTAAGCACTAAGTAGTCCCTACGTGGCTTTTGCCTAGCTAGTAAAGAAGTTCTTTTTGATTTTGCTGGGTTGGGTATTTCTCCTCTAGAGTTGCATGGTTAGGTCCCAGCATATGTTATGTTTATATTTTAGAATATAAGTAGTTCTTGCTTAATGAATGAATATTCAGCATTCAGCTTCCATTCCAGGTTATGGTTACACCAAATGAGCCCAGTCCCCATGATCAAAATTCAAGTGCTTGGCAGCCCACCCGCATACTGCAGGGGCACGTCAATTCTCTATACTTACATATCTCATCTCTGATCTTTTGGCTACCCTACACAAAAACCTAACACCTCTGCACTGCACAGGCTCTGCTGCACAGGCTCTGCTGCACACAACTGATTGTCACCATTTTCTGGCTCACTAGGCTCTCTTTTCAAGGCTGCTTCTGCTTTTCTCCAAAAAGCACATGTAGTTCTTGCAATGCTTCAGAAAGCCTTCAAGAAAGCTTCTGAGGCTTCACAAAGCCCTGCAAGAAGGCTACACCTACATTCTCCGAACTGCATGCATCATTTGTAATGGTATGTGGGAATGGTATGCCTCTTTGGAGATGGGGTGGAGATGCTGCCTAGGGAGAAGTTAGATATAAAGAGAGCTTAGCCCGCAGCTGTACAGCGGGCAGCACAAATGGTTCAAGAGGGTTAAG